GGGCCGCGCATGGGGCGTGCTCGTGGAAGGCAGTGGGCAGCGAGCTGGGAGGACGGCAGGTAGTTAGAGGGGCGCACTGGGGTCGCGCCAGGAGGGTGGCATGCAGTGAGCGGGGAACACAGTGAGGGGGACACATGAGCAGCGCTCAGGGGCGCACAGGGAGGGCAGCGGGCAGTTAGAGGGGCGCACGGGAGGGGGCGCGAGGGGATGGTGACAGGCAGAGAGCTGGGCACACGAGAAGGGGGCGCACAGGGGTGCATAGGAGCGGGTGACTCTGTCTTGGGTGTAAGGACAATTCAGACCAAGACCAGAGGAAGGGGACACAGTGAGCCCAGGGGCGCCCCTTGCTCCGGCTAGCTCCCTCCTCATCCCAAGAAATGGAGGAGAGGAGCAAGCATTTAGCCCAGAGGTCTAGGTCTAGAGTTCAGCCAAACTCGAGCTGGGATCCTCCGCTCCCCCTAGGCACCCTGTTTCCCTCCTGCACCCTTACTTTTCAGTGGAGTTAATGCAGTGTCTGCGTAAAGAAGGGGCATCTGTCCCTTCATTTGTTCTTCTATAAGCTAAGAGGGAGCTCTGGTGACCAAGAGATGAGTTGCGCTGCTAGCCCAAAGGCAGGCAGTTCAAATCCACCAGCTGCTTCTTAGGACCAAGAGGGGCAGTCTCCTCCTATGAACTTTGCAGTCTCTGAAAATGAGTCAGAGGGTCTGCTGTGGGTGGGTTTCGTCTCAGTGGTACATGACATAGTTCATGCACTCCTTACCTCAGATCTCAATACCCGTGTAGCAAGTTATTCTCACTTCTCTTTCATAAATGAAGAAACCGAGGCTTTACTAAGACAAATTAGTTATGTTGCTGTTGTTGTTGAATACTGACTCATAGCTGACCCTCCAACGGGTTTTCAGAGGCAGTTGAAAGCATGAGAAGAGATTGCCCATCCTTCTCCCGGAGAACAGCTGGTGGCCTCGAACCCTGTGCCTTCAGAATTGCAGCAAAGTTTCTTACCACTAGGCTACCGGAATCACTCTAATTAGCTTTAAGTCATTGAATGATAAATGGTGGAACCGGCATTGAAGCACACTTTGGCTTGGCAATCAATGTGGAGCTTCACACTAAGACTGAATCTTCCTGGTTAAAGATCTGAGAAGCCTTTGAGTCAGTGTATCTAGGAGTTGAATACTCTTCACAGAAAGATCAAACTGGTCTCCCAGTCTGAATTTCTCCGCTTAAACATTGAGACGAGCCCACTGGGTCAAGGAGAGAGAAGAACCAGTTTCTTTTGAGGCTATAACTTAGTCGACAGGGCAAAGAATGAAACTTGAATCTTTTAAAGTTCTTGTCCAACCTCTCCCCCACTTCCATTAACAAGGAATTGCTTCCTTAATTTTTTTAACACAAGCTTGTAAGCTCATATTTAACTCTTCATGATGAACCGTGCTTGTTTGCAAAATCAGCACCTTGGGCATGCAACCTGTAAACACACAGGGCCCTGTGTTTGCTTTAATGCGCAACATTTCATACAGAAATTCTTAATACTTTTAAAACTAGAGATGTCGTTTTTTTGGTTGGGTGTTTTTGTTTGTTTGCTTTTTAATTTTGCACAGGACCCCATGAATCATTTGGAGGCAGGAGTGGTGTCCACTTCCTAAACAACATGCCTCTGGAAACTCTATGAACTTTGCTAAGTGATGATAGTTATAGAAAGGCTTCAGGCCTGTTGTTCATAGGGTTGCTATGAGTTGTGCTTGACTTGATGGCAATCAATAGTAACAACAACAACAACTGTGAATCATAAAGCTAGTACCAACTAACATCCTTTATGAAAAATCTAGTTCTTTTTTTCAATGCAGATCTCAATAGAAAGGTCCCAGTGTCAGCATACAGGAGCTCCAGTGGCCTAATGGTGAAGAGATGTGTTGCCAACCTGACAGCTGGCAGTTAGAATCTATCAGCTGCTCCCAAGGGGAAAGATGGGTAATGGCCTCATATGCCATTTACAGCCCATGATAACCTGCTGGTTGGTGATAAGTCGTTTCTGACTCAAGGGCACACGGCAAACAACAACAACAATCTAGATATCAGCCCCTTACTTTTGGCCTCCGGGGGATATAATAAACAACTCTGTGACTCTTAGCTTCTTAGGTTGGAAAGCTCAAAAACTGTCACAACTTTTTTCTACTCAAAGTATAATTCCTAGCTGCTAGATAGAAAACAAACAAACAAACACACCCTAAAGCAGCCATAGCCAATCGTGGCAGGAAGAACAGTATCCACATATTTCGTCAAGCACCTATTATGTGCAAGACATTGAGCTACAAACAAATGATACAGGAGAGAAAGATAATTAGAGATTAAGTCTCTTCTGAATCAGAGCCTGATGAGAGAGTGAGCAGTTCATTGGATGACGTACACATACATTTTTAATAATCTGTGCAAGTAAAAATACAAGACTCTAATCGATGTGTGTAAATGAGACATATAAACTACTGAGGACAGAGAAGAGTTTTCCCCGATACCCAGTGGCAATTTCCGTTTTGTCAAGCAAGCACCTAGTGACTCACAATAAGGAATTATTCACTTCAGGATTTTCTTTATTTTTTTCCCCCCCATAAATTCAGGCAAAGAATAACTTGTCACACTTCATTCTAGTAAATGCTTAGCTGTGATTGTTGTTAATTGCAGCTGAGTTCCACTTCTGTTCCAGTAACAGAAATCCTTGTCTTCTGAAGAATGGCTGTGCTTTTTGGGACACAAGGATCCCTGGTGGTACAGTGGTTGAATCACTTGGAGACAAGTCAAAGGGTCAGTGGTTTCAACTCACCAGATACTCTGTGGGAGAAAGGTGTAGCTATCTGTTTCTCTAAAGATATACATCCTCAGAAATACCATTGTATCCTGTAATCCTACTTCTCTTGTTTGTGCCATTGCTTTGGAACTGACAACAAAGCTCACCCTGCAGGGGTTGTCAGAGGCAGTAAATTGCACAGAAGGGGATTGTCCATCCTGCTGCCACAGAGCAGCTGGAGGATTCAAACTCCGTGCCTCTGGGATTGCAGTGTAGCTTCTTACCACTAGGTCACTAGGTATATATCCCAAAGAAATAAGAGTTGCAACATGAACATATGTAAACACACCAATGTCCATTTCACCATTATTTACAATATCAAAGACATGGAAACAACACAAGTACTCATCAATGGGCAAATGAATAGAGAAACTTATGGTATATTTATGTAATGGAACGTATTGCGATGGGAAAGTCTGCTGTTAGGGACCTCTCTAAAGTACTCAAGAGCAACGGTGTCTCTCTGGAGACTAAGGTGTGCCTGATACAGGCCATGGTTTTTGCAATCACTTGTTATGCATCAGAGAGTTGGACAATGACTAGGGAGGATAGAAGGAGAATTGACGCCTTTGAGCTGTGGTGCTGGAAAAGAGTATTGAATGTACCATGGACTGCCAAGAAAACAGATTCATCCTAGAGAGGGTTAAACCAGGCTACTCCTTGGAGGCAAAGATTCTGGGGCTTCGTCTGACATACTTTGGACATGTTGTAAGGAGAGACAGGTCTTTAGAGAGGGACATCATGCTGGGTAGAGTAGAGGGACAGCACAGGAGGGGAAGACCCTCTATGAGGTGGATTGATTCAGTGACTGGGGTAATCGAGATGGGTGTGTCAGAAGCAGTGCGATTGGCACAGGATAGAGCACGGTTTAGGGCTGTTGTACATAGGGTCGCTATGAGTCGCAAACGACTCGACAGCATATAACAACAAGAACAATGATACTATTGTATTGTTATGTACTGTTGAGTTGGAATTGACTGGTAGCAGACTGTCTACTGGGTTTTCATAGGCAGTAAATTATATGGGAGAAAATTGCCCATCTTTCTCCTGCCTTTGAGCTGGAAGCACGACTCCTTATCATTAAGCTTGAACTCCTAATGGAGTACTATGCAACACAAAATAGCAGTTAAGAGTTCACGAAACACTGCACAATGTGGATGAATTTAGATGTTGTGCTAAGAGAAATAAGTCAGTCACAAATGAACAACAACTGTATAAGACCACTAAAAAGACCCCAAACCCAACAAAAACTACAGCTAAAGAAAAATTGATACACAGAAGAATTCTTAAATGACTGCTAGAGATGAGAAGGGAGGGAGAGGGGAGTAAATTGAGACATGATGGTACATTCACCTGATGGAATACTATGCAGCACTCAGAAGCAAAGACTTAAAAAAAATACCACAAAACTTGGGAGAGACTGGAGAGCATTATGCCGAGAGAACTGACTCAGTCTCATAAGGGCAAATACTCCAAAAGACCATTGTTGTAAAATTAGAAAGATAAGTAATAAAATGAGTATGGAAATCTAAGAGGGTAAGGGAAAAGAGGGGAATGGGATCAGAGGGGCAAGGAAATGGGAAAGATCTGGTGGAGACTGAAAAGATCAGGAAATGGTGGGCATAGTCCAATAGTGATTAATTTTATAAAACACAATGTATGAGAAGAATTGTATAAAACAATGTCAAAAGAAAGAGTGGGAGGAAAAGATTTTTAAATAAAAAATATACAAGCCATGGTTTTTGCAATCACTTGTTATGCATCAGAGAGTTGGACAATGACTAGGGAGGATAGAAAGAGAATTGACGCCTTTGAGCTGTGGTCCTGGAGAAGAGTACTGAATATACCAT